AACATACATTAGAACCTAGCTCTATGACATAACATTTGTTGATTATTCAGTAGACAGGAAACATTGTTTTTGTTTAGCATTTACATTGTTTGAAGGTTAGAACGAACGTAATGTCAATAATGCGGTGTAAAAAAGAATTAACACAGAAGTAACACTGGTATTTAGTTTTTGAAAATTTGATAACAGAGAAAAAAATTCAAGGCAATCAACAAACATAATGCAGAAGTTATGGCGTATCTAACACCGATGAATGACCTATTATTACGTAATATAAAACAAAAAGTATAGGTCAAAAAGTGAATAAATACCGACGCTACGTATCGTGGCGATCCGCGTGACCGAAATTACAATTTCAAATCTCCAGTAAACATTCACCTAAGAGATTCTTGTACGTATTGTATATTCAGTGAAATTGTATAAACTAACATAAATGTTTACTTGATACTTACTTAATATTTTAAAACTTTAATACTGCTATATTACGTTATTGTTATAAGAATTGTAATTATAAAAAGAAATCTTAAAGCCTAAACTAAACGAGAGCAGACAGTCTGACTGGTTTAAGACGCGATGCAAGAAATGCCCCAATAACACGTGCCAAAATCGTTGGCTTGATATTTGAGTTGATGTGTACACTACAGACGTATAATCTATACTATTATAATAAAGCGTAAGATGTAAGTAGCCTAAGATGTCAGCAATTACATCATATTTTTGAATAATTCTTTTTTTAATAAAAAGTTTAATATATAGAACATGTTTTAGGCTATATTTACATGCTATTAAACATAGGTAGTAATTCATTTGAAAAAAAAAACATCATGCGGGAAAGAGACAAAACTACAAGCTGCCAACATTAAGGAAGCAAGTTTGCTATGGTTGTAATTTGTGTATTTGAATATAAAAAAAATATTAAAGTTTTCATAATTCGGACGAAGACGGGAATAGCTTGTTGATAAAACGATTATCGTCTCAATGTAGTCCTTATATCTGACTTCATTAATGAATTGAAGGCAGAAATCAGTTTACACCCACGTAAGAAACTGCGCACATCTAACTAATATTATGTTTTGCAATTTAAAAGCGCGAGTTTATTGACCGTGAGATTTAAAAATAAAGAGGCGGATGTTATTTAGCAATGCGCGTTCACAAAATATTTGTGCTAGTCACGAACATCTCTAAATTTTGAATTAGATTAGTAGAAAAAATCGAATAAACGCTGAACAAATCGATTTAATTAACGTTTTCAAGCCATTGAATAATCGACTTTGACTTTAAAGCTTTAAAAAAAGTATTAACAAAGATTCGACTTTAAAAATATTGCTTTCGTTTGATCGTTGATAAAGTTGAACTAAGTTGATTTTTAAAGATGCAATGTAAAGAAAAAAGTAACCGGCCACTTTCAGTAGTTACAAGCGTTACGTGTTAGAACACATAATCATAAGCGAGCGTTCGCACGGACGCGAAAACGCTAGGCGGTAACTATGTGTCAAAATAGAACGTATGGGATTGTATGAAGCTGTTCATA